CTTTTTATTTTATTTTATTTATTTTTTAAGACGGGGTTTCACCACCTTGGTCAGGCTGGTCTTGAACTCCCGACTTCAGGTGATCCGCCCGCCTTGGCCTCCAAAGTGCTTGGATTACAGGCGTGAGCCACCACGCCTGGCTCTTTCTTTCTTTCTTTCTTTCTTTCTTTCTTTCTTTTTTTGGAGGCAGAATCTTGCTCTGTCTCCCAGGCTGGAGTGCAGTGGTGCGATCTCGGCTCAGTGCAACCTCCACCTCCCAGGTTCAAGCGATTCTTGTGCCTCAGCCTGTGGAGTAGCTGGGATTGCAGATATGAGCTACCACACATGACTAATTTTTGTGTTTTTAGTAGATACCTGGTTTCACCATGTTGGCCAGGCTGGTCTTGAACTCCTGATCTCAAGCAATCTGCCCACTTTGGCTTCCCAATGTGCTGGGATTACAGGCGTGGATTACATGCAATTTCTGTCAAAGACACTCTTACCTTTCTCCTTCTTCTGCCTAATTTATCCTTCAAATCTCTTTATAGTGGCTGGATCAGTCAGGGACCTGAGAGAAAACAGAAGCACACCTGGCAAGATTTTTTTTAACTTGTATTTTTTAAAGTTTACATAGAGTAAAACTGAAGTTTTGGTGCTGTACAGTTCTGATTTTAATACATACACAGACTGCGTAAACACCACCCACAGTCAGGACACAGAGCACCTCCATCATCTCTAAACTCTCCCTCTTGCTGTTTCTATCACACCCTTCCCTGACAACCAATTATCTGTTCTCCATCACTGTGGTCTTGCCTTTTCCAGAGTATCATATAAAGGGAATCACATAGCATGTAACATTTTGGACTAGCTTCTTTCACTCTGCATGCCTTAAAGATTCAACCATGTCGTTGTGAGCATTAGTACATCTTTCTTTTTATCTTGGAGTAGATGCAGTATTTCATTGAATTGACGTACCACAATTAGTTTAACCATTGACATGTTGAAGGACATTTAGATGGCTTCCAGTTTTTTGTGATTATGAATAATGATGCCACAAACATTCAGGTACAAGTTTTCCTGTGAAAATAGTTTTCATTTTTCTAGGGGTAAATGTCTACAAGTAGGATTATTGAATCACATGGTAAGTGGATATTTAACTTTATAAGAAATTGCCAAGCTGGTTTGTATTTATTTATTTATTTACTGAGACAGCATTTCACTGTGTTGCCCAGGCTGGAGTGCAGTGGTACGATCTCAGCTCACTGCAACCTCTGCCTCCAGGTTTAAGCGATTCTCCTGTCTCAGCCTCCCGAGTAGCTGGGATTACAGGCTTGTGCCACCACACCTGGTTAATTTTTGTATTTTTTGTAGAGACAGAGTTTCATCATGTTGGCCAGGCTGGTCTCAAACTCCCGACCTCAGGTGATCTACCTGCCTTGGCCTCCTGAAGTGCTGGGATTACAGGTGTGTGCCACTGTGCCCAGCCCCAAACTGTTTTCCAGAGTGGCTGTACCATTTTGAACTCCCACCAGCAGTGTATGCGAGTTCCAGGGGCTCTTCCGTCTGAGCAGAACTTGGTGTTGTCAGGGTGTTTTTTGTTCCAGACATTCCAATATTTAAGTTGGTATCTCATTGTGATTTCGTTTTGCCCTTCCCTAACAGCCAATGATGTTGAGCATGTATCCATGTGCTTATTTGCCATCTATCTTATTTGGTGGAATATTCATTCAAATCTTTTCCCCATTTAAAAAATTGGCTTGTTCCTTTTCTTATTGTTCAGTATTGAGAGTTCTTTATATATTCTAGATATAGGTCCCTTGCCAGATACGTGATTTGCAAATATTTTCTTCCAGTCTGGAGCTTTTCTTTCTATTCTCCTAACGGTGTCTCTCTCTCGAATTTTTTTGAGACAAGGTCTCACTCTGTTGCCCAGGCTGGAGTGCAGTAGTGTCATCATAGCTTACTGTAGCCTCAACCTCCCAGGCTTCAGCAATCCTCCCCTTAGCCTCCTGAGTAGCTGGGGCTACACGTGTGTGGCAACACATCTGGCTAATTTTAAACCTTTTTGTGGAAACAGGCCTTGCTATGTTGCCCAGGCTGGCCTCAACCTCCTGGGCTCAAGTGATCCTCCTGCCTCGGCCTCCCAAAGTGCTGGGATTGCAGTTGTGAGCCATGGTGCCTGGCTCTAACAGTGTATTTTGGGGACCAGACTATTTTTAATTTTGGTGATGACCAATTTACTGATTTTATCTTGTATGGATCAACTTTTGGACTCATGTCTAAGAACTTTTTTTTTTTTTTTATAAAGATGGGGTTTCACCATGTTGGCCAGTTTGATCTTGAACTCCTGACCTCAAGTGATCTGCCCACCTTGGCCTCCCAAAGTGCTGGGATTACAGGAGTGAGCCACCACGCCCAGCCATGTCTAAGAACTCTTATCCTTTTTTTTTTTTTGAGATGGAGTCTTGCTCTGTCACCCAGGCTGGAGTGCAGTGGTGTGATCACGGTTCACTGCAGCCTTGACCTCCCAGCTGAAGTGATCCTCCCATCTCAGCCTCCTATGTAGCCAGGATTACAGATGTGTGCCACCACAGTCAGCTAATTTTTGTGTTTCATAGATGGGCTTTCACCATGTTGCTCAGGCTGGTCTTGAACTCCTGGGCTCAAGCAATCCTCCTGCCTTAGCCTCCCTAAGTGCCGGGATTACAGGCTTGGGCCACCATGCCCAGCCAGTTGGAAGGTTTTTAACTATAAATTCAATTTCTTTATTAGACATGGGATTATTCCACTTATATATTTCTTCTTGGGTAGTTTGTGGCTTTCAAGAAATTGGTTCATTTCATGTTAAGTCGTCAAATTTATGTAAATAAGAGTTATTTATAGTATGCCCTTATCTTTTTAATGGCCATGGTATCTTTTGTGATACCCACTCTTGTTCCTGACATTGGCAATTTGTGTCTGTCTTTGTTTCTTTGGTTAGAGGTTTATCAATTTTACTGAATTTTTTTTTCCAAAAAACTAGCTTTCAGTTTCATTGATTTTCTTTTTATTTATTTGTTTGTTTTTGTTGTTTTATTTTTTATTTTTATTTTATTTTTATTTTTTATTTATTATTATTTTTTAAGATGGGGTTTCACCATGATGGCCAGGCTGGTCTTGAACTCCTGACCTCAGGTGATCCACCCACCTCGGCCTCCCAAAGTGCTAGGATTACAGATGTGAGCCACTGTGCCCGGCCTTCTTGCCCTTTCTTATGAACTGAGTTGTATCCCCCAAAACTTATATGTTGAAGCCCTTATCCCCAGTGGGATTGTATTTGGAGAAAAGGACTTTGGGCTGTGATTAGGTTTGGATGAGGTCATGAGGGTGGGGCCCCCACGATGAGGTCAGTGCCCTTATAAGAAGAGACACCAGAGAGCTTGCTCTATCTATGTGATACACTGAGGAACGGCCATGTGAGAACACAGTGAGAAGGTGGCCATCTGCAAGTCATAAAGAGAGCCCTCCCCAGAGCCTGATTGTGCTGGCACCCTGATCTCAGACTTCCAGCCTCCAGAACTGTGAGAAATAAATGCCTGATGTTTAAGCCATCCAGTCTGCAGCATTTGGTTACGGCAGCCTTAGCTGACTAAGACATCCCTTGAGGTGACAAATGCCCCACGCCCTGCCCCAATTCTGGGGATAGGGCTCACCATCCTTGGCTGCAGAAGCTGCTGATGGACCTGGATCTTGGGAGCTGTGGTAATAGCTCAAAATGCTGGGGTCCTGGGGTGAAGGGCCCAACCCAGAAAACTGGGGCAGATGTGGGCCTGGCTCAGGGGATTGGTGGGGGTGGTGCTCTGCAACAGACGTGGCACAGCAGAACTCCAGCCTGAAGTGCATTTGGGGTTATTTGTAGCTTCTGGAGTGAAGTTTAAGTCCATTGCATCCACAGCCGCTCACCACTCTCGCCCCTTACCATGTCGAGGGTTAGCTCCTTTAATAAGCAGGCTGGTCACCGAGAAGCAAGATGCATGGCACAGGGCATCCCGGGGTCTTCAAGGGTGACACTCTCAGTGTTTAGGGCTTGCCCTGTGCCCTCTGGGTTGAGCTGGCCGGCCTCCCTGGGCCAGCAGCCTCTGGGCACTCGGCAGCACAGTCAGGCTGGCCTGGGGTGGCCAGGCAGTGTTCTGTGACCTCACCTTCACTCTCCTGCCCAGCCGGCTGTGTCTCACTAACCCCCTCTTTTTTTTTTTTTTTTTTTTTGAGACAGAGTCTTGCTCTGTCGCTCAGGCTGCAGTGCAGGGGTGCGATCTTGGCTCACTACAACCTCCGCCTCCCAGGTTCAAGCGATTCTCCTGCCTCCCAAGTAGCTGGAATTATAGACGCATGCTACCACACCTGGCTAATTTTTGTGGTTTTAGTAGAGATGGGGTTTTACCATGTTGGCTAGGCTGGTTTCAAACTCGTGACCTCAGGTGATCTGCCCATCTTGGCCTCCCAAAATGCTGGGATTACAGGCATGAGCCACTGCGCCTGGCCCACACTCACCTTTTTAAGGTCAGGATGGTTCCTGGCAAAAGTGTCCGTTCCGGGGGAGGCTTCCAAACATAGGATTTGGAAGATATAAGAACAGAGCACGCAGAAGACCATGTTAGCCAGAGAGGGCGGCCACACTCCAATGATGCCTTCTCTATTACTTGAAGCTTCTTTCTGTTCAGCCATTAAAGAAGAAACTTGACGAAGTAGGAACAAGGTTATATTTCTCAATTGCAAACCTTTGTGAAGGAACAGTTGGCCTCTAAAGGCTTTTCTTTATTTAAATTTTTAATAGAGATGGAGTTTTACCATGTGGCCCAGACTGGTCTCGAATTCCTGAGCTCAAGTGATTCACCTGCCTCAACCTCCCAAAGCCCTGAGATTACAGGGTTTTTGGCCACTGCACCTGGCCAAAAGGCCTTCAAGTTTCAAATATTCAAGAAGGGGGCCTTGAGCTGAACAGAGACCCGCTGGACTGATTAGAGAAACCAAGGACTGATACCATGGTGGGGAAGCCCCAGCTTCACTACTTCAATGCATGGGGCAGAATGGAGCCCATCCGGTGGCTCTTGGCTGCAGCTGGAGTGGAGTTTGAAGAGAAATTTCTAGAACCTGCAGAAGATTTGGAAAAGTTAAGAAATGATGGGTATTTGATATTCCAGCAAGTGCCAATGGTTGAGATTGACGGGTTGAAGCTGGTGCAGACCAGAGCCATTCTCAACTGCATTGCCAGCAAATACGACCTCTGTGGGAAAGACACAAAGGAGAGAGCCCTGACTGATATGTATACAGAAGGCATGGCAGATTTGTATGAAATGATCCTTCTTCTGCCCTTATGCCGACCTGAGGAAAAAGATGCCAAGATTGCCTCGATCCAAGAGAAAACAAAAAATCGCTATTTCCCTGCCTTCGAAATAGTGTTAAAGAGCCACGAACAAGACTACCTTGTTGGCAACAAGCTGAGCTGGGCTGACATTCAGCTGGTGGAACTTCTCTACTTTGTGGAAGAGCTTGACCCCAGCCTTATCTCCAGCTTCCCTCTGCTGCAGGCCCTGAAAACCAGAATCAGCAACCTGCCCACAGTGAAGAAGTTTCTGCAACCTGGCAGCCCAAGGATGCCTCCTACAAATGTGAAATCTGTAGAAGCAGCAAGGAAGATTTTCAAGTTTTAATAAAGCAGCCATGGAGGCCAAGAATATGCCAGGCCGATATTCTAAAGCTTTGCAACAATAAAGTGCTTTACCTAACTGTTGATTGTGCCTGTTGTGAAGCTAATGAACTCTTTCCACTTATATGCAAATTAAATAATAAAAAACTCCCATTTGCCAAAAAAAAGGAAGTGTGTTTTTTTAGATCCTTAATTAATATTTATGAATTCTCTTACCCTGTGCTAGTAGCCTGGTGTTCATTTGTCCAAATGCATTTATTTATTTTTATTTATTTTTTTGAGACAAGAGTCTTGCTCTGTCACCCAGGGTGGAGTGAAGTGGCATAATCTTGGCTCACTGCAACCTCCGAATCCCGGGTTGAAGCAATTCTCCTGCCTCAGCCTCCCAAGGGGCTGGGATTATAGGCACCCATCACCACACCTTGCTAATCTTTGTATTTTTAGTAGAGACGGGGTTTCGCCATGTTGGCCGAGCTGGTCTCAAATTCCTGACCTCAAGTGATCCACCCACTTCAGCCTCTCAACATGCTAGAATTACAGGTGTGAGCCACCGCGCCTGGCCAAAGTGTACTTACTTTTGAGAACAAGCTTTGCGGTTGCCAAATGTGTTCACAGATGCCGATGCCTCCCCTGTGAGCAGGATCCCAGGCCCATCACCTGCCCCAGCTCTTGTCCTCATCCTCACTACCTTGGCCAGGTGCTGTTGCCATGAACAGCCACTGCCATGAGCAGCCTGTCCCACTGTCCCCTCTGCCTACTCGCCCTCTGGGTGCTGCAGGGGCTTGGCACGTGGGGAAGGTTCTGATGCAGGCTTCCTCCCTGTTTTGTTTTGTTTTTTTGAGACGGAGTCTTGCTGTGTCGCCCAGGCTGGAGTGCCATGGCATGATCTCAGCTAACTGCAACCTCCGCTTCTCAGGTTCAAGCAATTTTCCCGCCCCAGGCTCCTGAGTAGCTGGGATTACAGGCGTGTGCCACCATGCCTGACTAATTTTTTGTATTTTAGTAGAGATGGGGTTTCATCATGTTGGCCAGACTGGTCTCTAACTCCTGATCTTGTGATCTGCCTCGGCCTCCCAAAGTGCTGGGATTACAGGTGTGAGCCACCATGCCCAGCCCTGGTTATTATGTGTGTGTTTTTCTGTATGTCCTGACCCTTCTTCATTGCACCTAAAAGTGGTATCCGGGTGCAGGCGTAACCAATGGTGGATCCAGAAATAAGAACTTAGTGTGATAAGATTTTTTTTTCGACACAGAGTTTTTGTTCTTGTCGCCCAGGCTAGAGTGCAATGGTGCGACTTCGGCTCACTGCAACCTCCGCCTCCCAGGTTCAAGTGATTCCCCTGCCTCAGCCTCCTGAATAGCTGGGACTACAGGCATGCCCCACCAAGGCCAGCTAATTTTGTATTTTTAGTAGAGATGGCAGTTCTCCATTTTGGTCAGGTTGTTATCGAACTCCCGACCTCAGGTGATCCACCCGCCTCGGCCTCCCAAATTGCTGGGATTACAAGCATGAGTCACCACATTCAGCAGTGATAAGATTCTTACAACCTGTCCCTGTCTTACAGCTGGCCATTGCCTGAACCCTTGGTCTTTTTCAGGAGCTGGGCTGTCTACACCTGTTGAAAATGAAACTGGAGCGGCCAGGAGCGGTGGCTCACACCTGAAATCACAGCACTTTGGGAGGCTGTGGCAGGTAGAACACCTGAGGTCAGAAGTTCGAGACAAGGCTGGCCAACATGGCGAAACTCTGTTTCTACTAAAAATACAAAAATTAGCCAGGTGTGGTGAAACATGCCTGTAGCCCTAGCTGCTTGGAGGCTGAGACAAGAGAATTACTTGAACCCGGGAGGCGGAGGTTGTAGTGAGCTGAGATCACACCACTGCACTCCAGCCTGGGGGAGACAGAAAGACTCCTTCTTAAAAAAAAGCAAAAAGAAAAAGAAAATGAAACTGGAATTCCTGACATGGGAATTTGGTGTTTTCTCCTCACTTCACCAAAACATTCACTTCTAGAGTAGGGGTTCAGGAAATTGGCATGTGACGTCCAGAGTTGTTTTGGAATGTCACAGTCTAACTTCTTTTTTTTTTTTTAACTGAAAGGTACCCAGCAGTGGCCAGGGACGTGGTCAGGGAGCAGATTCTGTCTTGATGCGTCCTTTAGGGATCCTGGGGTGGAGTCTGCCTAGAGCCCCATCCCAGGGCCATGTTAAGCACCTTTTGTAGACATTGCGTGTGTGTGTGTGTGTGTGTGTGTGTGTGTGTGTGTGCGCGCGTGTGTGTTTTGAGACAGAGTTTCATTCTTGTTGCCCAGGCTGGAATGTAATGGCAGTATCTCGGTTCACCGCAACCTCTGCCTCCCGGGTTCAAGAGATTTTCCTGCCTCAGCCTCCCAAGTAGCTGGTATTACAGGCATGTGTCACCATGCCTGGCTATTTTTTTGTAATTTTAGTAGAGATGGGGTTTCTCCATGTTGGTCAGATTGGTCTCGAACTCCCGACCTCAGGTGATCTGCCTGCCTCGGCCTCCCAAAGTGCTGGGATTACAGGCATGAGCCACCGTGCCCGGCAGATATTATATTTTTATTAAAATGTCAAATCTGTGTTCCTGTAACAGTGCAGAGCAGTATTTCTGAACCATTTGACACGTGAGGCAGAATGTCGGCGTTGTCTAGATATCTGTGTGGGCTGCAGTCTGGGTCCTGGGGAGCTGTCTAGTGATGTGGCAGCTGCAAGGCCCATTCCAGGAGGAACCTCGCCGTCCTCTGGGGAGTTGAGTGCTGGGCCCCCTCCAGCCCCTAGCTCCAGGCCTCCTGCCCTGTGGGACAAGTCTGCAGGGTTGGGACGCTCACGTTGCCTGATCTTGTGACAGCATGGGCTGCTCATGGAGCAGAACATGGGAACCGTGCTGCTCGGATGTCACACTGCGCCAGCCTGACCAGGGCCATGATGGTGACCAGCCACATGGCCGTGGTTTCTAAGCACACCTTTTACATAAGGAGATGATTTAATAAAGCATTGTCTTAAAAAAAAAAAACTGGGCAGATGGAAACAGTTTTCATTTTTTTTTTTTTTTTTTTTTTTTTTTGAGACGGAGTTTCGCTCTCGTTACCCAGGCTGGAGTGCAATGGCGCGATCTCGGCTCACCGCAACCTCCGCCTCCTGGGCTCAGGCAATTCTCCTGCCTCAGCCTCCTGAGTAGCTGGGATTACAGGCACGCACCACCATGCCCAGCTAACTTTTTGTATTTTTAGTAGAGACGGGGTTTCACCTTGTTGACCGGGATGGTCTCGATCTCTCGACCTCGTGATCCACCCGCCTCGGCCTCCCAAAGTGCTGGGATTACAGGCTTGAGCCACCGCGCCCGGCTACAGTTTTCATTCTTGTCGAACAGTTTGTACTGGGTATCCTTCAACTGCAGCAGTAGGGATGGAGGCTACACAAGGAAAACATGCTGTTGGCAAAAATGCTGACCTCCAGAATGGTGCTGGGTAGAATGTGACCATTTCCCGTTTGGGGTTGTTTGTTTTGTTTTGTTTTTTTGAGATGGAATTCTCGCTTTGTCGCCCAGGCTGGAGTGCAGTGACGTGATCTTGGCTCACTGCAACCGTTGCCTCTTGGGTTCAAGCGGTTCTCCTGCCTCAGCCTCCCAAGTAGCTGAGATTACAGGCATGCATGACCCCACCTGGCTAATTTTTGTATTTTTAGTAGAGATGGGGTTTCCCCATGTGGGCCACACTTGTCTCAAACTCCTGACCTCAAGTGATCTGTGCACCTTGGCCTCCCAAAGTGCTGGGATTACTGGCGTGAGCCACTACACCCAGCTGAAATGTGACTGTTTTCTACATGAAATTGCTATATGAGCTCATTTTGAGCTTTGTATATTTATTTTGGTAATGAGAACTCTGTGGGATTATCCTTCAGAAATCAACAATATATATCTCTCAAAACTGAATATACACATTCCCTGACCCAGCAACTCCATTCCTAGGTAGATAGCCAATGGAAATGCTAATATTTTGTTTATACAAAGGCAAAAATGTCCATAGCAGTGCTTTACGCAATAGCCCCAACAGAAAACTACCCAAATACCCAGTTGCCTACCGCCTGCAGGGAATGGAGAAATAAATGGTGTATTCACCCAATGGAATACTATACAGCACCAAGAATCAGTAAGCTCTTGAGAAGACATGGAGGAACCTCATCACGTAATGTTGAGTAAGCAGGCCAGCAAATATAGGAGTCCATACTGCATGATTCCGCTCATGTTCCAAAACAGGCCAAATGAATCCAGACAATAGAAGTCAGGATAGTGGTTATAGTTCACTAAGTTTTAAAAAATCCATGATTGCAAATGGTTTACAGGGTACAAAGTGCCTTTGCATATGCATTTTCTCACGTTTCGCTCATTTTCATGCCAAGTGGACTTTGTTGAGATATTATTTACATATAAAAAATGCATAAATTTTAAATGACAAGTTCAATGAATTTTACCAGGTAACCCACACCGAGATCAAGCTACAGAACATTACAGAACTTCTGAGAGTTCCCTCACATGATTTCCTTTGATCATCATGACAAGCTCAGGACAGCAGAGCCATTATCTGCCCTTGTCACCTCTGAGGAACATCAGCCTGAGAGGCCGAGACTTGCCATGTGCCAGTGCCCCCCTCAGGGCTGGGATGGTGCTGCCCTCATGGCAGAGAAATTGCTGAGAGGCTCTCAGCAGCCTTCTCAGAACCCTCTGACTTGAGCTGGCATCATTAGCCTATGAGTTTGCTTTCTGAAAAATGAGGCTCTGTCCCCTTGCTACATAGCTGGGCAGGGAACTGGGGAGGTGAGGTGGGTGGCACTGGCTAGTTATTTATTATTTTTATTTTATTTTATTTATTTATGTTTGAGACAGAGTCTTGCTCTGTTGCCCAGGCTGTAGTGCAGTGGCGCGATCTCAGCTCACTGCAACCTCTGCTTCCCGGGTTCAAGCGATTCTCCTGCCTCGGCCTCCTGA